AGCAAGGCCATTTGCCCTTCTTATCAGCAGCAGATAAGGCCATCAGCATTTGAGCTCTGAATTCTGCATTCTTCTCTTTGGCCCTCTTTGCCCAGACTTAACACTCATAATCCAAAGACTTCTTCTCTCTTGCAATTTAAATCTACTAGCAGCTCTAAGGGGGAGAGAGAGAGAGAGAGAGAGAGAAAGAGAGAGAGGAGCAGTGGCCTTTTGTGCAATTTAAAATCACTGAAACCTGCTTGAGGGTCGGCGCTGAGTCGCTTCTGACCCCACGGCAGTTAGGTTTGACTGTTTTCGATGGGTTGGTTTGTTGACCAGATTTCCAAAGCTGTCAATTTGTAGCAGAGGCAGACTATTCCATCTTTTGTCAGTGGAGCAGCTGGTGGGTCCCAACGGCTGACCTTTGCTTTAGCTAACACTTTAACCACTGAGATAAAAGAGCGGGACTCACGGCAGTCGCGTGGGGACTGACTCGTGGCTGACTTGCCATTGGCTTTCCGGAGGCTGTCAGTCCCATGAGGGAGATTGCCCATCTTTCTCCTGAGGAGCAGCTGGAGGATTCGAACCTCCAGAGAGGGAGAGGCACCACCTTTGAGTGAGCACGCCTCTCTCTGGGTTGCCCTCCCTGAATTTTACCATCAAGTCAACTCTCACTCATGTAACTGAGAAAACCCCGTGGATCAGTTCTGTCCTGTAACACACGGCGTCGTCAGGAGTCAGGGCTGATTGACATGATCCATCACATCCCCACACACCGACTGATTCTCACATTCCCCCCTCAAAGTGACAAGGACAGCTTGCTGTGTGCCCTGTTTACAGAGGAGACTGTCCACTAACTCATGGTGACTTGCAGGAGAGCAGGGAGTGGACACAGGCCAGCGAGCCGTGCTGGGGTCCCAGGGGCCCCACATCACCCACATAGATCTGGAAAAAAGCCACGGTGGCTGCTTGCTCTTAGCTTTTCCCTCCACAAGTGTGAAAATGTTCATTTCCCCCTCTAGATGGACAATCAAGAGAAGGGATCCTCTCTGTCTCTGCGCCACCTGGTGGACGAACCCTGTCACCACTGCTGATTTTAGCTCGCCATTCCTCCTCCAGTCATTCAAATAACCGGGTCCCATCTCTCCTCTGTTCTTTCACCAAATACTGACGGCACGACTGGCAAAGGACAGGCAGGGAGTTAGGACAGACAACAAGACTGGCCAAGGACCACAGGGTCATTACACTTCCATTCAGGTGGACAAAGCAGGCTGCCACCAACAGTGTACGTAACAGACATTAACCGTTAACCATTTTATGCAGAGAGGCTGCTTTCAGGGTTGTAAGCATTGGGTCTGGGGAGGAGAAAGTGGATCAAGGAAGCTCAGGGAGAAGTTGGCATGTAACCTGAGACTTGGGTCAGAGAGTGAACTGAGGTTCATCTTGGGGCAGAACTTCCTGAGCTGAGGAAACAGACTGAGCAAAGGTCCTCAGGGAGGTCAGGGCCAGGTCCATGGGCTCAGGAAGGAGGGCTGGGGCAGACGTGCAAGGAGAAGACAGGAGAAAGGCGTCAGAGGAGCAGGATGGTGAATGCTGATACCCACTCTGGCTTCTGGAAGTTTCTAAGAGAGCCATGCCATGCTGTGGTTTCTGGGGTAACATGATTCTGGGTGGAGGGGAGGCTGAAGGTGGAGTCAGGGAGACCTGCTGGAGGTGAAACATCTGAAGAATCGACTGAGGGAGGCCCCAGACCCTTCTAGAACACCGGCTGCTGTGCTGTGTGCCTCTCTGGCCTCAGTTTTATCATCTGTCACTTGGGTATGAAAAACCTCATCCTGTACTCTGGGCAAAGCCAGGCCAGTCTTTGTCATTTCACAGTCCAAGGAAACAGTGAACCTGTGTCCATCCAAAGCCTTGTGGTCTCAGGAGGTCTGGGGTGGGAGACCGTAGGGTATATTTACTCTCATCTACCTGCTGTGAACTGTTCTGCTCAGGTTCTGAGCCCCCAGAAGCAGGAGGAGCAGGAATGGAAACAGGTTTCAGAACTGGAGCTGTGTGCGCGTGCCCAGTGGGGCACGCGTGTCCACTGGATGCAGAACCCCTTCACGCCTTGGGATGGGTGCTGGCCACGCCAGGGTCCCCTCACGCTTCCCAAAAACCATCAAAACTCCCACACGCCAAGCCCCAACCACGCTGTCTTTTGCTTGAGCTCCGGCAGTTTCCCCAGATGGCCACCAGGTGGGAGTACAGACCTGTTTGTGAGGCTGGGGTCACCTAGAAGATGGTCTGAGTGGGACGGGGGACTGCGAGTGCCTAGGTGTGCCCAGGTCTGTGCCGGGGGCTTTGGTGAGCACCCCTGCGTGTGTATGAGCTGCCTATGGTTTGTGGGGACACTTGCTCTGGACATATCCCTGTACACACAAAGTTAGAGGTGCCCAGAGGGCCTGGGCTTCTGAATACTTCCTATTTTCCTCTGGATTGCTCTAAGGGATCATGGACAAGGTGGCCTGTCCCCTGATGGTCACTTTTTTCCCCCCCAGATGAGAGATGGCTTCAAATCTGGGGCCTGGGGCCACATTGCTGGGATGCCCTGGGGCAGTGCATGGCCCGTCCCTCCTCCAACTTAGAGGCCCAGCTGAAGCTCTATACTTTGCATTAGGATGGGGGCTCCTTTCAGTTCCTGGGGTCTTCTGGGACAGGAAAGCCCCTCAGTGGACAGGGAGGACCCTCAGCTGGAAGGCAGGGCGAGTAGAGGGGGTACACAGTGGGGCTTGTGCCCCTGGTTCTGTGGGCTCTGGAGAAGGGGGTGAACTGGCCTTCCCCCGCCTCCCAGTCCCGTGTTCTCCACCTTTACTGTGTGCCCTGACGCTCCTCCTTCCTCTCTGAAGGTCACCTGAGCAGTTCCTGATCAAGGTCACTAAACCCTCCATGCTGTCACTCCTACTGGTCAATTCTCACCTCACTGGGGAGTTCTGGTGGCTCGGTGGTAAGGAATTGCGCTGCCAACCCAAAGGTACATAGTTTGAATCCACCAGCTGCTCCTCAGGAGACAAATGGGCAATCTCCCCCACCCCCTGTGCAATCTACTGTCTCTGAAAAACCCACTGGAGGGTCAGCTAGGGGTGAGTTCTGACTTGATGGTACGTGACACCATCTCCCTCATATTCTCAGCTGCCTCTGAATGGCCCCTCACTCCCTCCTTCCAGAGAGGTTTCCTACCATGGCTCCAGGATTCCACTCTCCAGGTTTTCCAGCACTCCTCTCTGCCTGGTGTCTCCCTGACTTCTCAAAGTTGGGGTGTCCCAGCCCCCACACCTCTTCTTTTCTGATTGCTTCGCACACCCACTTCTTTTGTGATTGCACCCAGGCTCCCGGCTTTAAAAGGACTACCATTTGCTCCAATTTAATGATTGGTTTTCTTTTTCATGTCTCTTCTCATGAGGAGGCAGACTCCACAGACAGGGATTTTCATTTATTTTGTTAGTTTTTTTATAAACTCAGGTTTGTAGAGGGGTAATTTGTGGAGGGTAAAACTCACCCTTTGTAGCGCGCGGCTTCTGAATTTTTGATACACGCTCGCAGTCGCGTAACCTACACCACAATCAGGACCTAGCCAATCTAGTGGATTCAAACTGCATACCTTCTGGATGCAGCTTCTTGCCACTTGGCCACCAGAGCTCCCTCCTAGCTTTTGGTGAATTTGAATAAAGCTCCTCTAACCCAGCATGTTGTTGTTTGTTGTCAGTGATTTTAATCTGAGGTCCTCAGGCCTGGTTCAATTTTTTTTTTTTTTTCGGTCAAACATTCTTCTTGGTGGTATAGCCCTGGTCAGTCCATTTGCTGTACAGCGGTAACTCATGGTGGCTGTGAAGCTGAGCACTGTGTCAAATGCCTTAATGGTCACCCATGGTGGACAGTGTTTAGTGGAACTCCCTGATTAAAACAAGCTTGGAAGTAGGAGTGGCATCCGCTTCTGAAATGGCTTGCCTCCTGAAACTCTATGAATAATGCTCAGGGCTGTCGTTCACAGGGTTGTTATGAGTCGTCTATGACTTGAGAGCACTTAACAACAACAGCAACCCAGCATGATCTAAAAAAACCTCCGACACCTTGAGCTTGAGTTGGAACCAATTCATAGGTGATCCTCTGATCAGTTTCCGAGGCTGTAAATCACACGGGAAGAGATGGTCCCTGTTTCTCCCTTGGAATATCACCAGAGAGATATGATCAGTGGATTAATAGCACAATTCATCTAGAGATTATGCCACCAGAACTCCCTGACATGTTGTTGTTGTTATGCACTGACTAGTTGGGACTGACCTCATAGCGGACCCTCCGACAGGTTTTCAGAGGCAGTAAATCCCAAAGGAGTTTGTCCATCCTTCTCCCACGGAGCACCTGCTGGATTTGAACCACGTGCCTTTGGGTTGACAGCTCTCCTCACCACTAACCATCGTGCATGCCAAGTTATTATTTCCCTTTTGCGAACACAAATTTTCCTTTCCCTGAGATAAATACCTAGGGCTAGAGAATAATGAACATAGATCTGACTTTATAAAAAACTGCGAGACCGTGTCCCGGAGTGATCGTATCATTTCTCATTCCCACCAGCAATCTATGAGAGAGGTTTTCACCGCTCTACTTCCTTAACAGCTCTCAGCATTAACTGCTAAAGATGTCTAGCTATGAATATTTCTTATATACGCACACATGTGAGTCTACATAGAAGGGAGCTCTGATGGCCTGATGAGTAGGGAACTGCACAACTGACTCAAAGGCCACGTCTCTGGTGGTTCGAATCCCCCAGCAACTCCTCAGAAGAAAGATGAGCAGTCTTCTCGCTTGTGATTTATAACCTCTGAACTCTCCCCAGATGATAACGAACGATGAGTCAGTTCCAACTTGATAGCAATGAGTTTGAGTTTTTAATACAGCGACTAGGTGTTTGGTGGTATTTGGTGACTGACAAGGATTGACTTGATCTGTTTTCTTTCATTCTATGCCTCCCAATGTCTAAGACAGCATTTGCTATATAGTAGATGTTTTTGTTGTTGTTGTTAGGTACTATTGAGTTAGAACGTACGTGTAGCTGACCCTCCCGTGGGTTTTCAGAGGCTTTATATATAGCACAGATGATTGGCCATCCTTCTTCTGCAGAGCAGCTGGTGGATTTGAACCCGGTGCTTCTAGGTTGGCAGCACAACTCCTTATCACTGGGCCACCAGAGCTCCCACATGTAGTAGATAGTCAGGGAAGGTTATGGAGTGAAGAAGGAATGGATGGGAGAATAGATAAGGGTGAAGGGCATCAGAGATCATGCAGGTCTGTTACAGCAAATGCATGGCACGCGTGTCCCCACCCCCTCCAGTGCCCAGGTCTCTGTTTCAGTGACAGGCATCATTAATCAATCCTAGCATTTGGTCCAGAGTCTTCATTCCAGGCAGTGCTATCCGCTCTGAGTAGTGAGTGTATTGAGTCTCATGGGCCCATATAGCTCTGTTCCAAGACTCTTAATTCTCAAAGAGACAATCAAGACCCAAGGATGGGTAGCAGGTTCCCCAAGAACTTAGAGTCCATGGCAAAGCTGGACTCCTGGGCTGGGCTTTGGCTAATAAAATACCGGGGACACTTCTCTTGATGATGGCGGGTGGAGTGAGGGTGAGAGGGACGTGGTTCTGGACCTGAGACCACGGATGGGGCACTGGGCTGAAGCCTGGGGTCTTTTGCAGGTACCCAGGGGCCGCTGGGACAACCTGCCCGCCCACCTCGGCTCCCTGGCCCAGCGGGCCTACTGGGCGCTGCTGACCCAGCGGAAAGACCAGAGCATCGTGGCCTTGGGCCGCAGTGGGGCGGGGAAGACCACCTGTTGTGAGCGCGTCCTGGAGCACCTGATGGGGCTGGCCGGCAGTGTGGACGGCACTGTCTCAGGTATGGGGGTCTCCACGGAGGACTGAGAGGGGGACTTGGGAGAGGAGGCTCAGCTGTCCCTCTTTATGTCCACTCAGCCAGTGTTTGCCCAACACAGGTGTGTGCAGACCCTGTGCCTTCCTGAACAGGGCCTCTGGTCGACCAGGCACCCTTGTGTAAACCCATAATAAAGACGCCCGCCCCTTCGTCTGAACAGTCGTCATAGACTGACATTATTTGAAACAGACCCTTGACTGCCATCCGCTGGGAAATTAGAGACTGAGCTAATAAATATGCAAATCGATGATGGTATCATGAGACTGGTTGGAGCTGAAGCCCTTGTGCGGTGCACCACCTGGTGAACTGTACAGAGGGGCCAGGATGCCAAGGCACAAGGAGGGGGCTCCTGCCAGAGGGTGGCCCACCTGTGCTTACGTGCAGGCCTCACGTCCTTTCCCCATAAACACCTGGTAACTGGTGGGAGAAGAGGAGGAGATAACGGAGCAGAGAGTAATGTAATGGAGCCAGGGGGTCACGTCCGAGCGGAACTAAACTTTAAAGTGTTAACTAGTCATAGTGACAACGTGAACACGATGTGAATCTTAAGTGTCTGAGCTTCTTCTCGGTCTGTTGTTGTTAAGTGCCGTTGAATTGGAACTGACTCATAGCTTAGCCTCCAGTGGGTTTTCAGAGGCAGGAAATCACATGAGAAGAGATCGTCCATCTTTCTCTCATAGGTGTATTAGAACCACCTGAGTTTTGGTTGGCAGCACAACTCCATACCTGCTAGGCTATCCCAGAGCTCCCATTCCAGGGACTTAGAACTATCCCTGGACGGTACAAGCCATGGTCTTCACAGTTACTTGCTATGCATCAGAGAGCTGGACAGTGACCAAAGATGACAGAAGAAGAATCAGTGCCTTTGAGTTGTGGTGCTGGGGTTGAGTGTGGAACATAGCCTGGACTGCCAAGAAAACAAATCGGTCTGTTTGGAGAGCGTGAAACCAAGCTGCTCCTTGGAGGCAAGGATTTTGAAGCTCCTTCTCAAATACTTTGGGAGTATGTGGCCAGGAGGGACCAGTCCTTGGAGAAGGACGTCATGCTTGGAAGGGTGGAGGGACAGTGCAGGAGAGGAAGAACCTGGATGAGATGGATTGACAAAGTAACCGGGGCCATGTGGGAAGGTGTGTTGGAGGCAGTGAGATTGGCTCAGGAAAGAGCAGGCTTCAGAGCTATTGTGCACAGGGTCGCTGTGAAGTGGAGTCGACTTGAGGGCACATAACAACAATATCCCTGGGTGGTACCCTTGGTTAAGCAACTTGGTTGCAAACAGAAAGTGTGGCAGTTTTTAATCCACCCAAAAGTGCCTCAGAAGAAAGGCCTGGCATTCCACTTCCCAGAGACCACAGGTGTTGGAAGCCTTCAGAGCACAGTTCTCCTGTGACACACATGGGGTTGCCATGAGTCAGGGCCAACCAGATGGCAACCAGTCCTATAAGGAGTGTTATTATTTAAGTTTACAGAGGAGGACATTGAAGGCCAGAGAGATAACTAGCTCGCCCGAAGCTAATAAATGTTGAGGCTGAAACTGGAGCCCAGGCCGACTTTCCAGAGCCCAAAACACTACAGTGAGGGAAGGTGGGGTGTGATCAATTATGATTTTATAATCAGTCCCCTAAGCTCTGGTGGCTTAGTGCTAAGGAGCTGTGCTGTTAATCCAAAGCCACGCAGTTCGAATCCACCAGCTGCTCTGCAGGAGAAAGATGGGTATTCTCCTCTGATGTAATTTACTGCCTCTGAAAACCCACCAGAGGGTCAGCTGTGGGTCGATTCCAGCTCAGTGGGACCCAACAATGAGAAGAAGGAATCTTTGAACAGTCTTTATTTTATTTTCTAATCTTCTCTCCACCCATCATGAAAATCTAACATTACAAATATACCGCTTCTCTGCTGATGTGAAATTGGGCTATTTGTGCTTGATACATAAAAAAGAATTTTTTAAAAAAAATTCTCCCAAGAGCATCAAGTTTTTCCTTCTGGGGGCAACTGCCACCTTGCTGAGAATTGCATCACAAGATCTCTGTTGTTTATCTACTAAGAATAAGAGTAATAATGAAAACATATATGGCACATTTTCTAAATAGTTTGCATTATTAAATCTTGCTTTCTGCAGAACAACCATGAGAGAGGTAGACATTACTATCTAAATGTTAGATTTGGGGTCTTCCAGGCCCAAGGGCGTTCTGGTGGCCTAGTCATGGCCTAGTGGTAAGAAGCCACGCTGCAGTTCCAAAGGCATGCAGTTCGAATCCACCAGCTGCTCTGTGGGAGAAGGATGGGCAGTGTCCTGCTGTGTAATGAAATAAACTGCCTCTGAAAACTGGCTAGAGAGTCAGCTACGAGTCAGTTCCAACTTGATGGTGCACAACAGAGCCAAGGAGCCCTGTAACATATAAAAGCTACTAATGGAAAAGTCAGTGGTTTGAATCTACCAGCCACTCTGAGAGAAAGACAGGAAACCGGATGGAGGTTTCCTCATACGTCACAACCGGAAGCTACTTGCTACAGAGAGTAACTGGTTAGACAAAAGAAGATGAACGCCTTGGTCTCAAATCAGTTCACAAGCAAAAGGCAGCCTCAAGAGGCAGATATCTAGTGCAACAATGAATGAATGACAACCCAAAATCTCTGTAAATGTTCATTAAAATGAATAAAATTTCATAATTAAAAAAAAAAGAGGCAGATACCGCACCACTGGACTGCGCTGCCTCTATCCTCAGCCCAGTGCTTCGCTGAGCACCAACTGTATACCTGGCCTGTCCCGAGAGTGGGAGGGGCTCCAGCTCTGCCTTCCCAGAATACAGTTCTGCTTGTGAGAGACTGTGTGCAGGTGGAGATCAGGATGAGCTGTATCCAGCTGCCTAGTACAGTGTCTGGCACACAGGAGGTGCTCAGGAAAGAGTTGTGGGGAGAACTCAGGGACTTTCAGCCTCCTGCTAGATTGAGAGCTCCTCGAGGGCTGGTCTGAGACTACTGCCCCCAGCCCCCTTCTATGCCTAGGAGATCCCAGGACAGTCCAACACCCTGAATATAACCTGGACAGGGTGCTTCTGTTCTGGCTTCCCCTGATGTCCTGGTCACAACTCAGTGACATTTGCATGATGAAGAACTGTGTTGTGAAGGCACGGGGCCTGGCTGAGGGCAAGGCCACTGGGGGAGGCAGGGGGTCCCCAGATAATGAATGATAGCCCTGCTTGGCCCCTACAGTGGAGAAGATCCGAGCCGCCTTCACCGTGCTCCGGGCTTTTGGCTGTGTGTCTACGGGCCACAGCTCCAGTGCCACCCGCTTCTCCATGGTGATGTCATTGGACTTCAACGCCACAGGCCGCGTCACGGCTGCTCAGCTCCAGGTGAGGCCCAGTCCTGCAAGCGACAGAGCCCAGGCCAGCAGTGCTTGGCCAGTCCAATTGCCAGTGACCCGCTCTGTGCCTGGCAGCAGCATTCCTTCCCGCCTGCGCCTTGGAAGAGCAAGGGGAGGGATGAAATATTCATGAGCAAATAGATAATTCAGCTGCTCATTAGCTGGGTCTTAAAAGCGCAGGCTGAGATTAAACAGGCCTGTGCCAGCCTCGCGTGGCCATCCGGGTGTGACAAGCGCTCAGGCCTGCTCGTTTCCATCTCCAGAATCGCTCTCTCCCTCCCCTTTGTCCCCCGCAAACATTCTGTTTGAACAGAAAATAGGATTAGGTTATTAGAAGTCTTGTTTGTACGGAAGTGGTTATAATTCCCAGACTCAAGGAAAGCTCCTCAGTGCCAACTTAAGTCTCCTTTCTCGCCTGGCTCTGAAACCTTATTGCCTTGTGGGCCACAGTGCTAAAGGGCTCTTGAAAAAGAGTGTATCTGAAGGTGCTGGTGGTTGTTATGTGCTGTCAAGTCGGAACCAACGCATCCTGACCCTTCGGCAGTTTTTCAGAGACAGTAAGCAACATGGGAGGAGATTGCCCGTCTTTCTCTAACAGAGCAGCTGGGGGATCCGAACTGCGTACCTTTGGGTTGACAACACAGCTCCTTACCATTAGGCAGCCCCTGAACACCTGCCGGAGGTTCAGCAAGGAGTTGGTTTCACCTCAGCAGCACATAACAAAAAATACTTTTTCAGTTGTTTTTCGAAACAGACGTTGTATGAATGAAACTAGGATCTGAGACACCCCCCCCCTTTTTTTTAACAAACCTGGGGTCAGATGTGTCAGAGATGGTGAAGTGAGGCTAAGGCAAGATTCATAGTCCTTGTTCCTGGGGTTGCTGTGAGTCAACTCAGCACATAACAACAACGACAACAGTAACAATAACAACAAGGACTGAGAAGTTGTGGAATGGAGGATACCAGCAAAGGTTGCTTTTGTGGTTTGTTTTTTTTTGAAAAAAATTATTATACTAGTTTATTTCTAAAATTTGAATACGTTGTTTTTCTCACCAGATTCTTCCAGTTTCCCCTCAATGACCCACTCATCAAATTGTACAACCCCATGATTAATTCACCCCCCTACACACGTCCTCACCCCTCTGCTTCCACCCTACCTTGGATCCTCATACTCATTCTACAATAATGACTTTATACAATATTTGTCCTTGTAAGACCGATTTAGTTCACTCAGCATAATGCTCTCCAGTCCCTCCCAAGTGTGGTCATTGCTTACAAAGTTTGTATGCATTGTGTTTTACACTAACCTTCAGATTGTCTTTCATACAATTATTCCCATTCATTATGTTTTATAAAATAAATCATTATTGAGCTATGCCCACCATTACCCTGTATTTCCGTATCCCTGCTGGACTTTCCCCATTTCCTTCATCCGCTCGTACCACCCACCCCTTTGTATGACCCTATAATTTCCCCCTCCCCATCCTCACCCCTCTGCTCCCCCCGCCTTGAATCCTCATACAAGTTTTACTAGTTAGCTTTCTATTTCCATGATAATAGTCTTTGGCAGTATTTATCCTTATGAGACTGAGTTAGTTCACTCAGAATAATGGTCTCTAGTTTCTCCCAAGTTATGTAGTAATTTTTTTTTTAAATCGTTGCTCCCGAGTGCTGTGTAGTATTCCATCATGTGAATGTACCACAATTTCTCAATCCATTTGGTTGTGGTTGGACATTTGGGCTGTTTTCATGTTCTTGTCATGATGAATAATGCTGTTGTGAACACTGGTGTACAAGTCTCCATTTGTGTCTCAGTTCTAATATTCTCAGGTATATTCCTAGCAGTGGAATAGCTGGGTAATAGGGAGTTTCCATGTTAAGCTTTTTGAGGAAATCTCAAACTACCTTCCAGAGTGGTTGCACCGTTTTACAATCCCACTAACAGTGCAGGAGAGGTCCCATCTCTTTGTGTATTTTCCAACATCTATCCAGCAAAGGCTTTTTTCCTTGGAATTTTGCCTCAAAGGCTGAGTCACGCTAGGGCACCTTAATGGGGCCGCTGAGTCCCAAGGTACAGAGAAGATGTACTAAAAGTAACTCCTGTCCCAAATGCTGGGCCCTCTCCTGTCCTCTCCTCTTACAGACGGTGCTTCTGGAGAAGAGCCGTGTAGCACGCCAGCCGGAAGGGGAAGGCAACTTTGAGGTTTTCTCCCAGATGCTGGCTGGGCTGGACCTGGATCTCAGGTGAGTGCTGGGAACGGCAGCGGCAGGTGAGGGCAGTGAGACGGAGGGCTTCCCTGTCCTGTGTCCACACAGCGCCATAGTTAGGAACGCCCTCCTGGATTCCAACTAAAGGAGTTAGTGCACCAGGCTGCCCTAACCTGGAGATTGGAGGATCCAGTCCACTCCGAGGTGCCTTGGAAAAAAGGCCTGGTGATCTCTTTCTGGAAAAGATTATGCTTGGTTGTTTGTGCCTTCATCTACCACCTCTAACAGCAACAGAGCAAAACTTTGCCCGGTCCTGCGGGATCCCCCCCAACCGTCCCCACACTCAAGGCCAATGTTATAGTCACTCTGTCAACCCGTCTTGTTGAGGGTCTTCCTCTTTTTCTCTGACTCTCCGCCTTCCCCAGCATGCTGTCTTTTTCCCAAGGACTGGTCCCTCCTAAAAACATGCCCAAGGTGCGTGAGATGCAATTTCACTGTACTTTAAAGAACACTTTAAAAGTGTCTTTAAGGAACACCCTAGTTGCACTTTCTCCAAGACAAATGATTTTGTTCTATTGGCAATCCATCCAGTGCTTCTCACTAACACCACAATCTAAAGGCATCAATTCTTCTTCAGTCTTCGTATTCATGCTCTTAACTTTCACAAGCAAATGAAGCAATTGAAAGTATCATGGCTTGGATCGGGCACACCTTAGTCTTTAAACTGACATCCTTGCTCTGTGGCAATTTCATGAGATCCTTGGCAGAAGATACGTGACTGGCATGAGTGCAGTTGGACTTGGCGGCAGCTGGTGACAGTGACATTGAGTGACGCTGTTATAAGTAACCTTAGAACTTAGCAGCCAGCAGGGGTCTCCTTCAAGTGGATGGCAGAGGCAGACCAAAGCTGGCCTGTAGATGACATGAAATTGGACCCTGCTCCCTGCGGAGAGCCTGTGAGGGATACTTGGCCCAGGCAGACCTGAAAGTCAGGACGTGCTGAGAGGCTGGACTACCTGACCATGAAGAGATCCTGTACCACGAGGAGTGTTTGCCCTCCCAGGCTGCAGGTGTGGACAGGCCTCTCACTCTGATCCCCTCTCTGCTTCCAGGACGGAGCTGTACCTGCACCAGATGGCAGACAGCAATTCCTTTGGCATGGGCGTGTGGTCCAAGGTAGGGAAGCATCCTGCCAGGTGTGCATGGGGACAGGGTGGGTCGGCGAGGGAGGGGTGTCCTGTGTGTCTCATCCTCTTTGACCCTAGGATGTGCAGTTGGCAGGGCTTGGTCATGTCGTGAAGACAGTGAAGCCTTTGAAAGGTCCCTTGTGCAAGGGGAGAAGGAGCCAGGAGGTGGAGGGGAGAAGGCTTCCTCAGGAGTCAGACTGTCTGTGTTCAAGTATAGGACTTGGGCTCTCAGAACTTCGGTGCTCTCTTTGGTCAAGTTAAGATAGTAATGGTTTTCATTGGGAACCTGTGGTGGCCTAGCTTAACACATTGCCACAAATGACGGCTATAAGCATGGTCTAAGCACGGTTGTCAGTTTGAAAGTGTGCGGCGTTAAAGGCAGTTCCACTGCGAAGAGGAAGGCAGTGTCTCACTGGCTGTTCACATCCATCACGGGCTCCAGGGGAGAAAGACATCCATTCTCCTCCCATTTCTTTACAGCCTCCTGGTAAACCGGAGAAGGTGCAGCCAGAGTGCTCTAATTAGAGGCTAGGATGGCGAAACTCCAACTCACATACTTTGGGTGTGTTGTTAGAAGGGGCTCTTTTTCGGAAAGGGGCATCGTGCTTGGAAAGCGGGAAGGTCAGTGGAAGAGGAAGACCCTCAGTGAGATGGAATGACACAGTGACTGTAGCAACGGGCTCCAGGGTGTCAGAGATCATGAGGCCGGTGCGGGACAGGACAGGGCTCAGATCTGTTCCTCACTCACCGGGCCTCTGGCCTGAATCCGTCACTGGCTTCTGGAGTGAATGTGACTGGTGCTCAGGATGTGAGGCTGGGTGTGTGGGAGAAGGGAGAGCTCCCAGCGGATGTGGGCTGCGAGGGGAGCCGGCAAAGAGGGGTGATGCTTCATGTTTGAGAAAGCCAACGATTTCCTCGTTTACTTATTTTCATTCCTTCATTGATATTTGAATGGTGGTTTCCTTAGCTCCCCACTTCCCACCATCTGGCCAGATCTGGCCCACGAAGTACTGGCATTATAGTAGTCCTCATGCAACTGTCACTGCTACAGGAGCTGTTGTTGGGCTCTGATGCCACTGAGTCAGGCTTCTGGTTAGCTTTGGGTACTTAACAGTTGTTAAGTTGTCCAAGGGCTGGACAAAAATGAAGTCACGCGAAATAGGAATAAAGCAGAGGCTGCAGAAGATACTGTCAGAGCCCAAGCAGAGTGAGAGAGCTACATAACCCTACGCAAAGAAGACTTCTAAATGGGGGGAACATTAGAGCTGGGTTTTGAAGGATGTGTAGGAGTTCATCAGGCAGAAGAAGATGAATCCTTACCTACACGTCTCAGCAATGAAAGATGTTGAGATTATTTGATGAAATAATGTCAAAAATCAACCTCAATCTACACACCATATGCAGGGATTAACTAAAAGTGGATTGTGGGCCTAGATAGAAAACGTCAAGCCATGCAAATTCCAGGAGAAAAATCTCTATAGCCCTGTATATGCATTGATTCTAACCGAAAACTGTAAAAGAACAAATTGATGAGTTAGGTTTAATACACATTAAGAATATTTGCATTTTTGTGGCTGGTGATGATTGTGTGCCGTCGAGTCAGAACTGACCCATAGCTGACCCTTCCTTCAGCAGGTTTTCTGAGGCAGTAAATTGCACGGGAGTATATCGGTTCAAATATGCCAGATGCCCCGTGGGTAAAAGATGGACAGTTTCCTCCAGTGCAATTTGCTGCCTCAGAAAATCTACTGAGGTGTCAGCTATGGGTTGGTCCTGATGCACAACAACAACAACAACAACAACAACAACAAACAACTGTTACAATGCAAAGACAAGCCACAGAGTGGGAGAAACATTTGCAAATCACATCGCTGATAAAGGATTCGTAACCAGGATTATTGTTGTTGTTGTTATGTACTGAGGTACACTAGAGAGGCCCACAACAGCAGATTTCTCCAGTGCAGTTCATCTTTTGAGTTCCTGACTGCTGGTGCCAGGAGTGTTGACTGTGGAGCCGAGCAAGCTGTAACTGTCAACAACCTCAGTCTCTTGTCCATCCGTCATGGTGCTGCCAGTTACCCAGTGGTGAGACATCTTTGTTCCCTCCCTGCTGCCTGGCAGGTGCCACGGCGCTTTTCTCTCTTCTCTGAGCTAAAAAATGAAGTGTAGAGACTCTCAGGCTTTGTTATCAGCGTGGGCTGGTGATCTGGGGTGAGACTGTCATTCAGGGCAGCCGGTGGCCAGGAAATGCCTCCTCCTCCAAGAATAGGGATTGAGAAATATGGACGAAATTGTCTGATTTAGCCAATACATATTGTTTTTATGTACCTATAGTATGAATTGGCCCATAGCTGACCCTCCAGAAGGTTTTCAGAGGCAGTTAATCACATAGATTTGCAAGATTATAATTGCTTGCACTGCCACACCAAAGGTATGTGGTTCAAATCCACCAGCTGAAAGATGGACAGTTTCCTCCTGTGTGACTTATTACCTCTGAAAACTCACTAGGGGATCAGCTGTGGGTCACTTCTGACTCGACAGCACACAACAGTGACAACAACAGTTATACAGATATATGTGTTGTTGTTGTTGATGTTGTTGTTGTTGTTATTAAGTGCCATCAAGTCAACTGTGACTCATAGCGACCCTATGTACAACAGCTCTCAATCCTGCCAAGTCTCACTGACTCCGACACACCTACCCCCCAATTACTGTATCAATCCTTCTCATCCAGGGCCTTCCTCTTCTGCAGATAGACATACATAGAGAGATATATGGCCAATACAGGGTGTTGGCTACCACCACTGAACACCTGAGAAGGAATCCTAAGAGAAGAGCCTGGATAGTGTGTGTGTGTGTGTGTGTGTGTGTGTGTGTGTGTGTGTGTGTGTGTGTAAATGTGGAACCAAGATGAAAGACATAGAAAAGGCTAGCTGATTGATTTAACAGACTGCTGGGGCCACAGAGACCATGGCTCCTGGTTACCATCCTAACCGACGACAAAACTCATCCCCGTGATTCATCATTCAGCCAAATAATCAACAGGTCTGTAAGTTAACCAGGGAATGCCGATGGCCTAGTGGTGAGGAAACTGAGCTTCCAACCCAAAGACACGTGGCTCGAATCCACTGGATTCTCCAGGGGAGAAAGCTGGGCAGTCTTCTCCCATGCAACTCACTGTTTCTGAAAACCCGCTGGAGGGTCAGCTAAGAGTCAGTTCTAACTTGACATCACATAACAACAATAATTCATTGACCAGTGCCCTGGTGGTCTAGTGCCCTGGTGGTCTAGTGACCAGCTGAACAATGTTGTCCTCTCCTCACAACCTCTGCTGTGCGACCCCTGCATCAGTCCCTCCCTCTGAGAGTCCTCCTCTCCTTCTCCGACCCTCCGCCTTTCCAAAGTCCCCTCCTGAGAACTACCTGGTAACATACCCGAGTGTGTCAGATCAGGTCTTACCCTGCTGGCCTGTAAGGAGCACTCTGATTGCATTTCTTCTTGCTGTGTCTCCAGGAAGAGGTCCCTCCCTGTCGGGCCCCTGGTCCTTCCCTACCTGCAGCTCAGTGAACTCTCACAGCAACTATGGAAGGTGGGGGGCAGACTATTTCCATTTTACAGTGGCAAAAATGGAGGCTGAGGGCAAGAGTTGTGTGCTGAATCACAGAGAGCAGGGTGCAGTCAGGTGGCGTCTCCCTGCCCACCTCCCCACCTCCCTGGGCTTCCCACTGGCCTCTCTCAGCACCACCTCCTGGATGCACCCACCTCAGCCCTGTTCAATGTGGAAAGGACATTGTACTCTCTCTCTCTCTCTCTCTCTCTCTCACTGAATTGCTTGCAGTCTTTGATTGACCTTGAGACTTTAATTATATCAGACAAACCCTGGGCAACAGTCCAACCCAGCTTTTTAAAAATTTTATTTTAAATTAATGTAGAACATATAATCAAGTGATTCAAGTGCAAGCATTGCGTGGCTCAGTCTTTCTGAAGCACACCTGGACCTCTCCCCAGAACAAGAACCAGAACGTTCTCTGCCGCTCTTAAGTGTCCTCATGCCCGCTGCTACATAACTCTCTCCTGCTCAGAACCATCATCCTGCCAGATAGGTGCTGCCTTCAGGCTAGAAGCGAAGTTCTCTCTGACAGACTAACAGCCGAGCTCCCTAATTTGTCTGTATTATACAGGGAGCTCTGGTGGCCTAGTGGTAAGGAACTGAGCTGCCAACCTGAAGGCATGTGGTTCAAATCCACCAGCTGCTCCACCGCTGAAGGATGGGCATTCTCTTTCCATGCAATTTACTACTTCTGAAAACCTGTTGGAGGATCAGCTGTGTGTCGGTTCTGACCTGATGGTATACAACAACAACAACATAGAGAGAAATTGGGTGGCATAGTTCATAGGGAGTTGTACTAGTAACCCAAAGGCTGCCCCTTTGATGGTTCGAATCCACCAGTGGCTCACAGGGAGGAAGATGAGCAGTCTCCTCCTGTGTGATTCACAGTCTCTGAAACCCCACTTGAGGGTCAGCTAGGAGTCAGTTCCAACTGAATGTCGAGTGATGGGGTTAACTGGTAGTGGGCACAGGTGGTGACTTTGGAGGAGTCTGGAATGTTCTAGATCCTGATCTAGGGAGGGTACAATGACCTTAAGCATGATGGAGATGATGCAGGAGAGGGTATGAGTTCAGGCTGTCATTCATAGGGTCACTGTGAGTTAATTCAGTGGCACCCAACAGAAGCGCGCATGAAACTCCACCTCCTCCCACCACCAAAACAAATCTGTTCTATCTCGTAGGACCTTCGCATATTAGATAATAGAACCGTGATCCAGCAGGGTATGTTTGCTTATAATATTTAGGGAAACAAATAATGAATCCTTTCTTTTGTGACTGAGTGGGTTGACTGCCAACATTTAGGTTTATGCAGCCATTGCTAGCGTCTGTCACTAAATTACCATCTTCCTGACTTCTCGTGTATTACTTTCAGTTATTCT